GTGGAAGATAGTAGCTTGAACGGTGAGAGAGCGTAGGACTCAATGCATTTTTCTTTTTTTTACTTGTGCTAATATCTCTACTTTTAAACACTCCGGTCAAAATTTAATCATATTAACAATTTACCCCTAAAAAAAGAGAGACATTGCTTATTTTTTAATTTGTGTATGAACTCTTTAATCCATCTTGAGTTTATAAACCGATAATTTACTCATGTCTCGAGACCTATATTTCTAATACCATTTAGGTGGAATGACCAAGTCCACTCGACGGTCAACAATGATAACAACACATATTTAACTTTTAAAAGGCACTTAGTAGCCTATATGAATGCATCCTAGTTGATTCATTCAACGCAAAGTTTGTGAGACGAAAAGCTATCTTTGTTTATTATATGCAAAAGATAAGCTAGTTGTTTGTTTGGTGTGTGTGTTTGGATCATGTAAATTACTAGCACATTTAGCTAATGTTTATATAGATAGAGACGAAACGTGAATATTTGATTGGAGAGTGAAAATTAAAATGCTAACAAAAGAAAGTAACTTGGTTGTGCTACACAAAAAATTACAAGTGAAGAACGTATGTATATAATATTACAAGATTACATCTATCCTTAAGTCATGGTGTCTTGACTTCTCCATCTTCCTTCAACAAATTTGCTCCAGGCCTTGCAAATTCACCTTGATGATATTGCAAATAACAATATTCATTTCTTCAGATGTATTGTCGTAGTTTCTCTATCATAAGAAAAATCATTCTTCCCCATCTTTTGTAGCTTTTATGTAAACAACAAATATCATGTCCAAGCTTCTCCATCGTTTACATATCTTCAGTGCTTTGTAGTTTCCATTACCACAAAAATCACTGAGATCCATTTTACTTTTTGCATATCCTCGAATATCTTTGATGTCTTTTATAACATTACCCCAAATCAAATAGACATTACCCCAAATCAAACTATTTTCTATCATCTACTCTTCTGCATATTCTTGAATATCAAGATGCTTATGGAATTTTCCCACCACCACAACGGTATAGTTATGATCCACAATACTCCTTTGCGTCCATAATACTCTTCCGCATACTATGTCCATATTTTATACAATGATCATCAAGATCCATCTTACTCTGTTGCATATCCTCGTGTATTCAATATATTTTGAGGCTATCTATGTTGGATTGATGACATGTTCTTCTACCATTCGATCAACTAGAGTTATAACCTTTGTGATGTGGTGGAGGTTGAGATATATACGTATATCCCATTTCAACCATTTGATCAACTCAAACTACCCCTTATAAATCTTTCATTTGAGTCAGAATCCATTGAACAACGTGCTTAAAACAACACGGGCTCAAGACCGGACCAATTTGCAACATCCTACAACTTGGACAGCTTAAGATCTATAGATTACGGGTAATTTGGGTATCACCATTCGCTTGTAGAGAAAAATCACAAAATCACGTAGTTTCAACTTGAAAACACCGATCTGTATTCCAATGAAACCAAAAACAGAGAGGAGGAGACGAGACCGACGCATGTCTAGTGACAAATCCATTGCATCATCTAAGATAATACCATGAAACCAAC